GATAAGGATTATTTGGAGGTAGGTTGCATCTCGCCACTGTTTGTTAGTCCCCGTTCGGACATAGTCCGAAAACGGGGACTTATGTTTTGCCCTGTGTGCGTCCGTGCGTGCGTCCGTGATCACCTGTATCTCCAACATGCATGGACCGATTAAGTTCAAACTTCACTCATACATCACACATTATATATGACATATGCACATACATTTTTTTCATGATCCGATTAACGATAGCCGAATAGCGGCCATTTTCAGGCCGAAAATGCATCAAAATCGCACATTTTCACCATTCCGGACCCGGATCTCAGTTATGCATGGACGGATTTTGTTCAAATTTGGTACATACATTAAACATAATAGGATCTTGATGCACGTCATTTTTTTTTTCCCGGATCAAGTTCAAAATGGCCGACTGGTGGCCATTTTGTTTTAAAGAATTCAGTTCTGGATCCGTATCTGAGACATGCCTGGATTGATCGAGTTCAAACTTCACACACACAAGGTACATCATGTCACAAATATGTATGTGCATTTGTTTCATGATCTGCTTAACAATAGCTGAATGATGGCCATTTTAAGGCCGAAAATGCATTAAAATCACGTATTTTCACAATTCCGGAACTGGATCTCAGTCATGCATGGATGGATTTTGTTCAGATTTACTGCATATATTAATCATAATATAAGCTTAATGCATACCAATTTTTCTTCGGATCAAGTTTAGAATGACTACTTTGGCGGCCATTTTGTTTTAAAGAATTTAGTTTTCGATCCATATCTCGGACATGCCTGGACAGATCAAGTTCAAACTTCACATACACATCATACATTATATCATACATTTGCCTGTGCATTTGGGCCAGTCCTTTTAAGGTCAAAAATTCACAAAAATTGCACATTTTCACCATACCAGAACTGAATCTACCGTATGTCATGCGTGGGCAAATTTAGTTTAAATTTTTTTTTGGATTGTGTTGAAAATGGCTGACTGGTGGCTATTTTGTTTTACTGAATGCAGTTCAACATCCATATTGTTGCTGCTTTGAATGTATATGTCACTCAAATATGAACAGAATGGGGACGTGTCATTGACAATGACTTGTTCACTGTAGTGTTCTCAACTAGAAATAAATACATAGGGCAGAATTATTTCACAAGTTTGAAAAGGTTAAGAAAATTATGGGACTTCAGACACAGGAAGCATTTTGTTCTCGGTGTACTGTATATTTTATTTTTGCTTGGAATTAATTTTTTATGATTCGGTGAAAATAAAATCTAGCGAATATACCTTTTTTCCTATATTTTACATTCAACTGATCAAAAATCAGTGAAAATAAATTCTATACAAAACATAAAGTATTTTACAGTATAAGGCAAGTTTATTCAAATGCAAAAATTTATGAACTGTAGTAAACGTCTGTTGCTAACAAATGTTAGACATGAAAACAGATTTGTTTAAAATAAATTGTCGCATGTACTTCAGTTTTTTGGTCAACTTTATGATCGTGATCTACCGGTAGTGCAAATCTAAACAATATATGACCATACTTGTTGATAAAAATGCATCTACAGGGCTTTTATTGACTGTGTTGCCATGACCACCAAAATGAATATTCATTGAAACTCATTGCAAGAAGGTGTGAACTTTGCAAATTCGCAGTATTAATCTTGCCGACAAGACGTGCATTATTTTGTCGGGCGTTATTGGGGCTGATGCCATTCGACCGGCGAAAGCACCACTCGCGTCTACATGTCAGGCTTGTTTAAGCCCTGTAGTCGATCAAATGTTCTGGTACTGCCATTCATTGCAAGATATTCACGTTTTAAATTGTGCCAATGCAGTAGTCGCATTTGCACGAAAAGTTATTTTGTGGTAGTGTGTTTACACCAAAATGCACTTGTGAAAATACATATTGGTATAGTGAAGAACATTTCATAACTTTTACTTTGTCAGGTTGCAGTAACTGGAAATCCAGCTTTAACGCGGCGATATTGTGGTGATGGGTTTCTACCACCCACATTGATTTCAACTGGACCCACCATCACATTACGATTCCATAGCGATGAAGACAGTGTTCATAAAGGCTTCAGTATATACGAGTTATTTGTACAATGCCCACTGTATGCCTATTTTGCTACAGATTGGAATGAGGTAAGGATTTGTTGCCATAAAACTATTATTGAGTGTCTTAGTTGAATATTGTAACTTTCAAAAACTGTGCTTGGCAACCCAGTTTCAGGCAGATAATTACCTGGATTAAAGTCTACATCATGACATACTGTAAAACATGTCTTTTTCGCAAGGATGAATTTAGCGAGAGAACTGATTCGCTAATTCAAGATGTTGCTAATGACTTTATTATCAATTCAAAATGGCCGCCAAACAAAAAAATCAACAATGATAAGAGAGATTCGCTAAATCAACATTTCGCTATTACGTCATTTTACCACAATTCGCTAAAATTGCATGCCGCTTTTTCAACATGTTTTACAGTAGTTCATAGTTGCAGAGAGCAACACATTTTTATTTATTTTTGCTCACAAATATTTTAACCAACTGTTTGAGCTGTGGCTTTGCCACAAAGATGTTACATGTATCATGTGCAACATACGTTAGAGGAATCTATTAAGTAGCTTGTATGAATTGCAAATGAATAATAAGTCAGTTTCCAAAAAAGCAATGTTGAACCAACCGTTTGAATGCTATAATTTTCTGCTACAATTTTAGTGCATCATTTTAAAAATTTGTGCATATTTTTCTTAAATTTTTATATTAATTTTGGGTCAAATAGATATAAATTTGAATTGCCTACAAAGGTTGATAAAAAAAAATTGTATAAAAAATGGGAGGAACTTGTTAAAAGTTGTGTATGATGCTAAAAATTTACTCGGGAGGGGGGGTCAAAGGGTTAATATCAAGTTATTGGGGGTGTGGAATAACAATTGTTTGGAACATCATTTCTTTCTAGTGTTCAGTGTCTTGTGGAGATGGTGAAAGAAATCGTATTGTTACTTGTCATCGCCTTTCTGATAGCCAGGTTGTGAATGATTTGTTTTGTGCTGGAACTAAGCCATCTCAACTTGAAACATGTACACGTCCATCATGTTTAGGTGAGTTTCAAATAAATTTCAAAGTATGAGAAACTTGTGCTTTGTCGTAGTTGGTTGGTAGGTAAGACTTGATAATTCTCACCAATGTGAATTTTTTTTTTTCTCGCCCTTCACCAATTTTTCTCTTGTTTAGAATTAAAAACCTGAGAACTTGATTCGCTTTGAGTGGACAGATGATACTTTCATCATTGAATGGAGTCCACTTTTTCATTGGCCAGAACCCAAGTTGGATGGAATTTTTACTCTTTTAATAAATTAAATTCTCATTTAATGAAGCAGTGAGAATATGAACTCTCACCAAGAATAAATGTTGTTGTCATTAAATGCAGAGAATGAAAAGACCAATCTACTATTAACGCTAACTGAGAGAATGTATCAAATTCTGCAATATCATCAATTTAAAATTCTATGGAAGATGGTTTGTTGTGTTTTACATGCTTTGTATTACATCACATAAAATCCATATAGAACGGCTCGGGTATACTGTAATGCTTTAAAGACGACAATAAATATTATTCATTGAAAATTACAGCTAGCATTTTCCTAGCTGAGGTGCAAATACAAGATGGCTGGAAAGAGAATGCCAAATTTAGAAAAAAATCTTGGAAACCATACCAGTTTTAAGGGCTGGTATTCCTATGGTAATATTAGTCCATCATCGAGTTAAGCAGGTACGGTACTGGATCAATTCAAACAAATTTGATGTAGTAAAGAAATGTCTTACTGCTAAATTTGTGTAGAATACCCATAGATTTGAAAACAGTCTGGTTAATAAAAACAAAAGGTAAATTTTTTCAGTCTTGCTTGTGCTACTATTTTTGGAAAATGGTTGTCCCAGAATGCAAGTTGATTGTTTGTGTGCACCCTAGGCTGCTGTTTATTCTCAATTCCTGGGGTCCCATATAATTTGAAAAGTTAGACATTTTAAACACACTCTAATAATGAATACACATTGTATAATTTTACAGGATGTGATTCATCAGTAACGTCTCCATACCAGTCGATTGGCATATCTAATTATGATAACAATCAAGACTGTGAAATCACAATCACCAATGTAGATGGATGTATTGCGTTGATTTTCTTGAGTATGAGTATTGAAGCTGGCACGCCAAATGTTTGTGAAAATGACTATCTTGAGGTAAGCGGTCTTGTCGTAAAATCAAATGCCCTAAACTATCTCACTATCTCACCATTCACCATAATTTTCGGCACCAACAAAAAATATGCTTCAGGTCATCATATATAACTATCACAAGAATTTTATAATAAAATGAATGTCTTGCTTTGATTTTGGAAAACTAACGTTTTAATTTTTGTTCCGCACCTTGGTGGATATTTCTATACGTAGCCACCCACGAAGGTCAGTGTCAAAAGATGTCATTTTTTTGTACATACTAGTGAGGGTGGATTTATCAGTGTTTTTTGAGTTTCCATTTTGTTTTATTGCACATTCGGATTTTATAAGATATCTACATTTTCATAAATATTTAATTTCAACAAATTTATTAATCTGTTGCCACATTTGTACAAGTACATTGATGATGAATAAAATATTTCAGAATCGCTGAAATGAACAAGTAATGATATGACTCTTATTCTGAACTGTACTTGTCTGAATTTCTTGTCTTATCTTGTTTCATCACTTTTTTTATTGATTTCATTTCTGTTTGTGTTTTAGATTGATGATTTAGGTGCAACTTTACCTCCGCGAAAGTTCTGCGGCAATGAATTACCACATGAGTGGTTTTCAGTCAGTGGTAATGTCGTTTTACGTTTCCATAGTAACGATGCAATCACAGATGAGGGTTTTAGTGTATTTGTACAGTTTGTGGATTGTCCTACATATGTTTGGGATGTTGCTGATTGGTCTGCTGTAAGTAGCATAACACACATTCTAAAGTACTATAAAAACCATACATATTTCCAATATAAATTTATTCAAAAAGAATAATTCAAATACTGTGGTGGTGTGTACTGGGTCCTGCATACAGTAATGATGAATACTTTTATCAGAATCGCTGATATGATTAATTTATGATATTAGTTTTCTTCTGAACTGTTATGTTTTGCAAGTTCCACATAACTTAAAAAAACTTGTCACTGATATGCAACTTTCCATCAGCTGACATTTAGCTTTTTCACCACCGCTTTTCATCACAAATTCACATAATAGTCCCGTTTAATAGTCTGCACTTTTCTTCACAAGATTGGGACAAAACTGGCCAAATTTTTGTAAGAAAAACTGAAAATTATCTATCGGCTCCAAAATTGGGGTTCATTTCCAGAAATATTGAAGAATATGAGAAAAAAGTGCAGAAGCAAGTGAGCAAGAAACTCTGGTGGTAAAAAGCTTAAAGATGCTAAAAACAGTGGCTCTTTTAGTATTCACTATCTGTGAACACATTCATGCAATTCATGTTAAAGCGTGGTGGTCGTCGCGCAGTGCGTGTTAGAATTTCATGTAAATAAACAATGTATTTTACACGGGTTGTATACGTCGCTATGAGTCCCATATCGAACAGGACGCTGCGCAACAACCACCACCCTTTAATATTTCACTTCTTGTTATCTAGTGTGATGCTGATTGTGGTGGTGGTACAAGATCTCGGACCGTGACTTGTCAGAACTCGCAGACACAATACAATGTATCAGATACCGAATGTCCATTACCAAAACCATCGGAATTAGAAGAATGTAATACCGACCCATGTCCAGGTACTTTTTTTTAAC